GTGTTTTGGAGCTGTCCTGATTAATTTTGGTAAATAAAGTATGTTTTGATACTTCATCAAGTGTCGTCGTTATTCACTCCAAATCCACATGAACTCCGTAAGAATGTGAAGGAAGAAAATAACGTAACAACTGGTGTCAGAAAAAAAGTTACAATAATTAAAGAACCTTGGGTTCAAGAGGTCGTAGGGAAAAGAAATTATAAGAGTTTCACATCGATCAGGGACAGTGCAGGAAGTGGAAAATAGTCGTTGATGAAATGTTTCAGAGCTACACCAGTGACGGCACTCAAATCAGGCTAGCGTGTGCAAGCAAGATGAGGAGACTTGGACGATGAGTAGTTGGATGAGGAGTAGACTTGTTCCTAATCCTGCAGTCCGAACCAAAGGAAGAGATGGTACCAAAAGTTCAACAGTTAAATATAAACATTTAAATACAGAAAATTACATTTTTTTTTTCAAATGTGAATGTATTATAGAATTAATATATGAGACATCTACTGAGCATTAAGCATTAGCACAAAGTAAACGATATAGCAAGTTAATATAAAGCGTTTATTTCCTCCATAACAGAATAAAAGATGTTAGATTTAGTACATAAGTCATTTGCAGCCTGCATCGCAAGCAGTTTACTTTTAAAAATTTGTAACACCCTGTGTAGGTTAGCTCCAAATGCTTTTTAAATTCAGATAGAATTTTCATTAGTTCCAATAATTCCATAAGATTACTGCCCTCTGGCAAACTCGCTCAGACTGTCATTCTCACGCTATGTATACATTTTATTAAAAGAATTTTTTCTTTAAAAATTGGTGTCTAATAATCATCTAAAAACCTTAAAAGAGTTTGTTTCCCTAACAAAGAGAGGTATGGATTCAGAAGTTAAGACTCTATTTTTAATATAATTTAATGATTAAAAATAAAATTTACGAGATGAAATGTCTTCCGAAATTGTTGTTCAGTAACATAAAGGAGTTGTTCTGTTACATAAAATAGCCTTCGACATAGGGCTCTTCTAGAATTATGATTTATCCCCAAAACTAAGAAGAATCGGAGTCGGGCTACGGCGCAGTATAATGATGCCGAATTGAAATAAAACCCATTTGCTTGCTAGTTGCCTTTGCTTTAGCATTGTTTTGTTTACGTTTGTCTTAATCGATTGCGACTTAATTTTCGAAATTCCAGGTGTATGCTCTGTATCAAACTGTTCAAATCATTCCAGAAATAATTTTAGGATGCTTCGTTCCCCCCAAGAAATGAAAACCGATGAAGGAAATTGGTAATTCTCGTGAGATCAATGGTTTGCACTCCTAGAAGCGTGTCTTTTTGAATTAAGTTCATTTTCATATTTTTCAATATAATATTTTTAAAAAGACCATGCTTTCGCAAAATTTGTATTTTCATTTAAGTACTGCTAGTTAACGATAAAGTGGTTTTACATATGCAAATCAATTGAAAAAATGTGTCTCTTAGGCTGTGCAATAAAAATATCGCCAATGCTGTTTGAGATGCGATTTTTGTATTATTACTATATTAACGACAACGTGTTGCATTATCGGCAACGGATTATACTGTATAAAGAATCTTATCGTGCTTGGCTGTAATTATAACGGGCTTTTTTTAATCAAATTCTATAGAAATCAACAGTGAGCCCCTCGAATAACAAATCTTTTTTACAATAGAAAAATTATCAGCTATCAATTTTACTATTTCGAATGAGTTCAAATACAGTTTGGTTAAAAATAAATAAATATTTCAAACGTTTTTCTTGTACGAGAATATGTAATTAGCATATTAATTAAACGAAATATTTTATTGTGAATTTCATACGAAACAACTAAAATGTCTATACGTGAATAAATAAATCAAACAAAAGCTGCATAAGCTTCATATATAAATAGAACAAAGAGAGCACTGACATTTTCCTTTTAAAATCTGTCGTCTGTACGGCTCTTTCTGGGTGAGTCTATGCATGAAAATAAGAACCGCACATAGCAATATCACAAAATGCTTAAGGAGACTGAAACACTAAGTAATAACACTAAGTTAGTGAAACACTAACCTGAAGTATAAAAACTGGAAGATTCTCGCTCGAAAACTGGGAGTTCGGGCTTTGCGCTAACACAAGGCCCGTTCACATGCAATGCTCCTTCGCACAGCTGCTGCAAAGAATCTCTAATCTTAGAGATTCCTTGGCTGCTGTTAGCAAGGGGAGAAAAAGGAGACATGAAAGAGTTTCGTCTTTAGGACCCGTTCAGAAGACCACCGTCTTCCTTCCCCTTTACACCTAAGCCTCTGTGAACATTCACGTCTCCGAATTGGCAGATTTCTAATACTGTTTACACATTTTTAAACGTTGTTACTGTTGTTAATTTTGTAATCTGGACTTTCGCAACTGGTACCTGAACTTTCGTAATGGTTCCTGAAAAATATATGCGTTTTAATTATTATTATATTATTTTATAAGCTGTTATTTAGTTCACTCTTTGGTGCTTGTCGCTATTTTTAAAAGATGGTCATGTATTTTTAAACTGCTTCCCGATAAGATATAGAACTCAAACTTTGTACATACACTGCTTGTGAATGTAGTGTCACACTTTTGATTTTAGAGGTCTAGATTTTTTTCAAATTTAACTGTGAAACGATTTTTTTTTTTGCAATATTAACAAATAAACTGAGAATCTCAGAATATTATAGTTTGCCACCATAACACACTGTGGAGGAAAAAAAAATTAAATGAAATTTTTAGCGTAATTTTTTTTAAAAAATTTTGGGAGAAATTTTAAAAATCGTTCATATTTTTAGACTTCTTGACGCCCATTAATTTTAAAATTTCATATCTAAAAATATATCGGTTACAAACTTCAGACATTTTTACAGCTTATAAAACAAACGTTTCGCATTTAAAAAAAAATGATACAGGAAATTAATTGGATGATTTTTTTACTTTTTTGAAAGATGTGCAATGAATGAGAATGGGAAATATTGGTTCTTCTTGGGCATCAATTCGAAACATCGGTTTCAAAGTAATAATCTCGTTATACCACACTATTTTTATGAAATTATCTATGCTATATAAGTTGTTATTGTTGCCAATTGTTTGTTCAGCGTTAGATTGGAGATATTTCTCTTAAGATGCGTTTTGCATTCCGTTGTGTTTAACGTTCTTATTAGATTGAAGCATAACTATTGATTATACTTAGTGATATTCTAAACACTTGTACGAGTATTTCTGTGGAAAATTCCAGAACTTTGAAGTGTTTCTGTTGATAAAATAAATTTAATTAAGCTATCATCGGATTTGAGTGCAATGACAATCATTTACGAACTATTATCAATCTATTACAAACCCGTATGCACGCAACAATATTATAATTAATTAATGTATTAAATAGTTTTGAACGTGTTTTACAAAACGAAAACAGGTAAAGAAAAATTCTGCTTGCGTTTTATGAGTTTTTGTAATTTTTCTGGCCACATAAGGTTTAAAAAAAAGGTTTGTAATTTATGTTTATATTTACCAATTGAATAAATAGCACTGCGTTTGATTTATATATATATATGTGTGTGTACTGAAATTCAGTAATAAAATTTTAAATATTTGAAATCATTAAATGTCTATTTAGACAGTTTGTATTCTTTAAACTGCAAATGCAAACTGAGAAACCTTTTGCATTTTTTTCAATAAATCCTTTTACTTAAAGTCTTAAAGCATATACAGGTATGGACTAATTTTTTTATTATTTTTACTGCTTATTTAACATTACATACTTTATAGAAAAAAGGATGGGTTTTGCAAAATACTGAAAGGAAAAAATTATTTGAAATGAAAATGTGACTGAGATCATATTGGTTTTAAAGATTTTAGATAAGAGTGTATTTTTTTTCTCAGAAACTAATTCATTAATTGCAAAATCATTCCTTGAAGTTATTAAGAACACTCTAATAAATACAATAAAAAAACTGGGGGGAGACATTAAAAATTGTTAGAGAAGAAAGACATTTTAATTGTAAAATTTTTTTTCAAAAATTTAAATTAAAAAAAATACTAGAAAAAACTTTTTTTAGCTTAAAATTATTTTGTCTCACAAAACCATTTAATAATATTCATAAAAAGTAGATGAAAATGCTTAAATTTGTTTTTAAAAAAAAATCATTCAAAAGGTACCCAGTCCCTTGTCGCGTTGAAGCCGAATATGCACTTGTCTTAACTTTAGTTTTACTTTGAACGATATTTCTGGAATACCTAGCATCAGATAACCTAGTCTGTATTTGTCTATAATTTGCGTATCTTTGTACAGTTCTATCTAATTTTTGGGGGGATGCTATCACATCCCCAGACATCTATCAGCGCGATTGTTTCGCTGACAGTCCAGCGAGCAGTAACTAAAATTAAGTGAACCGTGCAGTATAGTACGAGAAATCTCCCCATTTGCCCTGCTCCCGAGAGGTAAGGAACATTCAACCAAGTTCTACCTACAATTCGGCGAGGCAGTTAATGCTTGTCCCATGTGAACAGGACACGTTGGAAGAACCGGTTTTCGCTACCGGTCGAATCTGCTCTTGTGAACGAGCCTATAATGTCAAAAGACTGCAAATTCACTTAACTTTATAATGCCAAATTATTGAACTATTCTAATATAACTCTGATGTAAAAATGTATTAAGAGTTAATTATATGTTTTAAATTTTATATGTTTGGCTAATTTCATTTCACAATTTTTATAAATTTTATATTGAGCAAATCTTTACATTTATTTTATCAAAATATTTTAAATACTATGAAAATAATGTTAAAGTAATCAATATTACGCGAATAAACTTAATAATGCGCCTTACATTGATATAAAGCAAAATTAAATTGAAATATTAACTGACTAAAAACCTTAGTTGAATATCATAAAAATGTTGTAAATGTCTAAGTAGAAAAAGACAATTCAGATCAAATAAAATTTAATGAGAAAAATTACACTGAAAATCACTAGAGGAAAATGGAATTAGCACAAGTTTCATTAATTCAAAAATTTTATTCATTGTTAGGAAAGCATTTTCTTTAGTGAAAAGTAAAAATTAATAATCGAGATATTTTGTAATTTTAATTTTTCTGAGAAACGGGAGACATTCTCAACTTAGGAAACAAGCTCATTTCTGCATATGAATCAATGATGACAGTTTTACTGCATGCAGGCTAATTTCATCAAAATCTTACGTTCTATATAACATACTCAGTTACAGATATCAAAGTTTAAATGCAGTTTAAAATTCAGACTATCATTAACTTTTAATGAGTATCTATAAATGCTTCTAATTTTTTATGCAGTTTCCCTTTATAAGGTATGTTTCGTCTTTGAATAGCTTGCGCACAGAGGCATTGCAAACTGGTGTATCTTAAAGGATAAATACCTGGAAGAGCTGCCCTTCTGATAAAGTAAAGAGGAGTTTTCTTTTCACGATTACGTTGATCAAGGTGAGCTCCATGATTTAAAAGAGCTTTAATTATTTTTAGTGTACAACTTCCCTGGTTCATTGCTGCTACATGAAGTGGAGTATTTTTATCAAAATCTACAGTATTAGGGCAGGCACCAACTTCGAGTAAAAGATTGACAACTATAGATGAAGGAAATATATGCAAAAAATACTCTTCATGTACATGTGAAAGGTTTACACAAGCAACATGTAGAGGTGTCGAGCCATTACGGGTAAGGGGATTCATTTTAATTAGCTTGTAAACAGCTCTTTTAAAATCTAAATCATCTCCATTTAATTGGGATTTTAATACACAGATGCAAAGTACTAAATGCATAGCAACAAGCATAATTTCATGAAACTCAGATCTATAAGTTAATTTTTGTTCACTCTTGTATGATATTTCAAAGGCACGTTCCATTTCTTTCAGCAGTTTTTGCAACACAACCAGAATTTGCTTTGCAGGAATAGGGATATGTAACTCATTAGCAGAAGCTTTACACATCAAGACTGCAAGGAATATGTTAAAATACTTAAATAACTTTAGGATACCCCGACTGAATGGTTCAAACAACTCTTGGTATACTTCTAGGCGGTACATCCACAACTGCATAAAGCGCTCAACATCCCCGTTATGAGCATAAATATACCCTCTGTTTTGCACATACAAGCACGTTTGAGGATGACAACAACCAAGAATGTTTTCTCTTACAATTAAAGCATGTACTTGCATTTTGTCTGGATCACCAAATATTTCTTCCAATTGAGCAAAAGTATAAGCTTCAGAAACGCCCATAAAAGATGTTGAGAACTGTGCATCTACCGAAGCTACTACCGAGGATGCTGCTTCTGGGTTTACATGATGGTATTCAAGATCTTCACATCGCCATTTCACTGCAAGGCGCCAATACTGATATGCCTTCATCATATCCGAGTGCTTATCCATAAATGTCGCACCTAATAATTGAACTGCATTTATTTTATCTTGCTTCGAGAATGAAAATTCTTGGATAAAGTAATCCACTATTTGTGCACGGCCATTCATTGACGCAGATAATAAAGGTGTGATATCGGAAGCATCAACATCAAAAACAGCATGATGATGTAAAAGTAATTTAAGTATATCCAAGTGACCAGATTCAGCACAAGCATGCAAAGCAGTCTTACCTAAAGGAAAACAAAGCATAAATATCATTATAAAGTATATTATCATTTAAAATATTTATTTACTTTTATCTGACAAAAACTAATATTACGATTAAATTACTTCTGTGAACATTTTGTATATTGTAAAAAGTGCACGGAAATTTTATGTATACGCATCTAAAATAAACAATAATGAATGAAGTTTTAAATGCAGAAGAAGAATATGCTTAATTTTTTATTTTATTGCATTTTAGAAAGGCTTATTATTAAGGCAGAAAAATGTTTTAATTGCACCAAAATTACACATAATGATGTGGTATCTACAGCACTGTCAATTTTTATAAAATCCTGAAGCATATACATGCACCGAATTGCATGTAATAAAGAAGAAACACAGAACATGAGACCTGGAATTATATATACGCATATGGATTACATATGTATTAAAATTACGCAAAATACAAAATAAAACATAAGATAAAAATATGTAAATCAGCTTTATAATTTAATTTAGTAATAGCCTCTTAATTCCTCATTTTTAATTTAGGTATTTTCTCTCTGTATTCTAAAAATGATAACGTTTCTGGACTGCCTCATTTTTACATGAATCTATGTCACGTTTCTGGACTGTGTCATTTTCTGGACTGTGTCATTTTTACATGATCTATGGGCTGCGTAAAGCTGAGGATGTAGCTAATGCGGAACATGAACTCAAAATTTCGATAACTGAAACTTTTTCCTCAATAAGCAACCTAAAACAAAACCTTTCCTTTGGTAAGTCTCCATATTGGATACCTTCGCACTTTTGCTTCTATCTCTGTTGCTATATACACGCTGTTTCAACCTGCTCTCTTCCTATTGCATCAGTATCAAAAGTGTTAATGTTCTTGAATAGGCGCGAGGGCAAGTAAACTGTGTCCGCAAAATGTCAATTGAATTAATGTTGAATATTTGATCATACTCGGCTGCCATGTTTCCTCTTCAGTATAGATCTACGTTCCACGTCATCAACATTTCTACGTCCTTTTCATCACGAAGTTACTATGTTCTTTTCACCACATATATATACTAAAATTTTGAATGGGGAAGACGCAGCAATATCACTTCACCCACGAAATAAATAGATTTATTTTAAGTCTACTTAAAGCCATTCGAATATCACTTTTTACTATAAAACATAAAACTAATATATTTCTTAACAGTTACTGTCCTTTCATATTTTCACAAAATAGAAATCAAAGGCAAGATCTCACGCAATGAATGGCAAGTGGATCTCACGAAACAGAAATCAGAATCAAGTGAATCTCACGAAAAAGAACGTAGGCATGTGTATGCAGGCAAGTGCACCTCAGGAAATTGAAATCAAAGGGAAGAAATAACAGGTCTGTCACCATTTTGTTCATAAGAAAAGCATTTAGTTTCATGGTTGCAAATTAAAATGCAAGTTTTTTTTAATTAATTGAAGAGATTAATCTTTACTTTTACTATTGAAAAAAAGTATTTTTTAAATTCAGAACCGAGTAAATCTCATAAAATACAAATCAAAGGCAGTTTCTGATATATGACCGCAAAATCGCTAAGGCAGAACTCTTTGCGATCAATTAAAATAATATACTTCCTTCTAGGTACAAAAATTGCTTTGACATGCTTTTCTCCTGTGCTTTCCTACATTTTTAAAATTTGCTAAAATGGTTGGCATTATATTTTTTCCCAGGCCTTTCTCTCTTCTGCGCATTATGTGTACAAAGTTTTTGAAAAACGGTTCGGTAGCCGCAGCCTGCGTTTCTGCCCTAAGCATAGCCTTTAGAACAGGAATTTTTGTAGATTATATTTTAAATTATAAACTGTCCTTTATTCAGCTGAACTAGAGGAGCAAGAAATACAAACCCAGTCATTTTAATAGATTCTGAGAGTTTTTTTATTCTGATGTAATATGCACTTTAACCGTTCGACTACTAACTGGCGAGACTAAACAATTCTGTCTTTCCAAATACGCGCGATATCTGGGAGTCGCAAATTTGTAGCGCGAGCTCTGTTCGTTTGCGCCCACTACGGTGAGTAACTGGAAAGCGAACCGAGTTCGTTGATTACCGTCAAAAAGTTAAGAAAATTAATTGTACAAATGAGATCTTACTTTTCAGACTGAAACATAAAGATGACAATCAACAGTAAAGTATATAATAAGGTAGCAAGTGCTAAACGGCTGTCCAAAGAACTCCTGTTTAAGTCTAGATCAATGGAACCCACCTGCCAATTTGCAATAGTCAATTTCTACTTCCATTTAGTACGCACGATATTCTAGTATTTACATATAAATTCTAAGTGACATGTGGAAATCATTGAAAAATGTATCAGCATATATAGCTTAGCTCTTACTTTCAGTAATGGACTATATTACTTTCACTAAGAGATAATAAACTAATTTTAGAGGAAAGCAAGAGATATGCTGTTGTCTAGATCAGCGGTCGTCAAACCTTAGAACTTCAAGGACCACTAAACATATAATTTTATATTCGGCGAACCACTAATATGAATTAAAAAAAGAAAATAGATTTATACAATAATAATAGGCAAACTACGCATATTTCGCTCACATTTGAAAAATAACATGAAAAGTACAAAAATCTTAACCTTCTTGTACAGAAAGTTTCACATTCCCATATCACTAAAAACGAACTTCACAAAAAGCAAGAACAAATCGGCAAAAGCAAAGCAATATCAATGAAGTGATAGTGTTGCGTCGTCAATTTTTGATTATTGTAAACATGATCATCATCCCTTACTCAGCAATGGGGCCATCGATCAATAGTTAGACAAAACATAAACGGAAAAATCCAGTGATGCAATTATAAACAAGAATGTAGATGGTCCTCATAAAAATCCATCAAGTTGCCAATTGACACGGAGAAAACTGTGCTACAATAGCATATGTCTGTAATTCAAAAGGAAAGCCCTAATATTGATAACAGCAGCATATCCATGGATGCCAACTCTCACTTTTAAATGTCGACACCTGCAAAAGTAGCTAAAAAAAAGGCACTAAATTCAAAAGGAATTTCGATAAAATAATCCATAATAGCTTTTGTTACTCGTCATTTTTTAAACTGAATCTTCACAAAAATATAAATAATGTCTCAATTTTTCTGCAGACCGGCAAAAAGTTCTCACGGACCACCAGTAGGCGACCGCTGGTCTAGATTATTTACATGAGGGATAATTGTTTAATTACTTACTTAAAATAATTTTTTGTTAATAAAATGCATTAAACTTCCGCCCTTGGCTTAAAAAATTAAATTTGTTTATTGTGAAATGATGGAAAAATGACTATAGCAAGCCATTCGCATAAAGTAAAGCACAACAAAAACTACCGTCCGCGTACTATGTATATTGTATTTAGGAGTTGTTCTTATCCACAACAATAACGTAATTTTATTGTAGGAATCCGGAGTACATGAATATTGTACAATAGTAGTACACTAGGGAGAAGAGACTTCCAGATCTAGGCTATTTAACGAACTTAACGGCAAGGGGACCAAGGGTAGCCAAAGCACCCCAAGGAAACCCTTCACATCTTACCACGGAATGACCCCACAACAAAGCGGCAGACAAGACAGTACCAGTACGGAACTTGAATCTTTCACCTCAGAATCACTAGTCAGTTCTAGCAAAGAAAACTTCTTTGGTTCTAGTCACTGTGAAGACTGATTATGTACGTACCCCAAGAGCCGAGTTTGTCTAAGTACAAGTCCTAGCCAGAACGACGGGGGTTGCTCCCCTAGTTGACCACCAGGGAGAATGCACATTGTGCATTGAAAAAATTCTAATCGACTTTTCTTTCGAAAGTTTGAACTAAATGGTATTGGTCGAGATCTCTATAAGTTTTTTTCTAAATGATGTCTATTTTCTCTTATTTACAATGTGTTCTTTACGTTTTGAATACTTATACAATTACGTGAAACAAAGAGATTATTCTCCAATTAAACTGTTTGAAAATGAAGGTAAACTGTTAATTGCGCTTTTCGGCAAATTATGATATTATAATAGTTTTGCATATTAAAATATTATTATAAGGACACAGCCCCCATCCTCCTAGAATGGGACTGGCCAGGAAAAAACAAGCATAAGAAAAACATATTAATAAGTCCAAAATCTGAGTCTCAGTGCCGAATTCCAATTCTATCTTTGTTCGCATTTATAATCTTCATTATTGTCTCCGCAATATCTTTCAAATTTGAATACTTCCTTTTAAAATCTTACTTAAAATTCTTTCTATATTTCTCTCTTGCACTCCGGGTAAGCGTACATTCGATGACGGGGTGCCTTTCGTCCCCAAACTTATCACAAATTAAGCATGTAATCATTATTCTGTAGATGGAACCGATTAAAATAAGCCTTATTATAATACAAGGCCCGGCTATTGATTTCCAGGACTCATGAAATAGCTCAGAAGAAAAAAAGGTTAAACATATAGCCATTTAATATGATTCAAAGTAATCTCCATCAGCCGTAATGCACGTCTGTGCTCGGCTGTACAAATTTCGGAAAGAAGTTTTAAAGTCCTCTTTTGGAATGCTCTTTAATAGTGACGTTACAGTTTTCTTGATGGCTTCGACATCCTGAAATCTTGTTCCCTTCAGAGAATTTTTCAGCTTAGGAAACAGGAAAAAGTCTGCGGGTGCTAGGTCTGGAGAGTATGGTGGATGCTGCATTTCAACGACACCATGCTGGGCTAAGAATCGCCTCACAGGCAACGCAATGTGTGGGGGGGGCACATTGTCATGTAGCAGCAGCCAACTCCCATTTTGTTGAAAATGAGGCCTCACTTTACGAATTCGTTTTCGAAGTCGGTCAAGAACTTCTGTGTAGAACTGTCCATTGATAGTCATGTTAGAAGGAAGAAATTCATGATGAATGAGTCCATCGCAATCGAAGAAAGCGATTAACATAACCTTGATTTTGGACTTTTCAAATCGAAAATTTTTTCTGCCTTGGTGAACTTGGAGACCGCCATATGGAGCTTTGACGCTTGGTTTCAGGGTCATATTGATAAGCGCAAGACTCGTCTCCGGTGACTATCCTATCCAGGAACGCAGGGTCAGCATCAGCTGTTGTCGATAAGTTCGCCACATGCGTCCTAGTCTCAATTGCTTTTGTTCGTTCCTTAAATAGTGAGGAACGAATCTGGAACAAATCTTGCGTTTGCCTAGGTCTTGCGTCAAAATTCGCCGAACCGAATCGTCTCTTTCTCCATGTTGAATTCATTGGCGACTACTAGAATAGTCAATCGACGATTACATTTCACCATATCGCGAACTATTTCAGTTGCTTCCGGCATGCGTACGGACTGCGGCCGACCTGTGTGTGGATCATCTTAGACGCTTTCGCGCCCGTCTCGAAAGCGTTTAAATCATTCAAAAGTTCTTGAGCGGGATAATGCTTCCTCGCCATTTAAAACTTGTTTTAACATTTCGTAGGTTTCCGAAGCTGTCTTGTCCAATTTGAAGCAAAATTTAATGCTAATTCTTTGCTCCATTTTCACTTCGACAATAGGAATTTAAGAGCTACGTTTTAATATGCCTCTCCACGAGAACCAGAATGGCGCCGATTGCACCGCACATGCGCAAGAAAACGCTCTTCAATATGCAATCATTAGCGCCATCTTCGGACTTTTCGTTCTGCTACAGTTACATCAGTCCTGGAAATTAATAGCCGGACCTTGTATATATATGTCATTTCTTTCTCTCGGATTACCCTGGATTTGAATAAAACGTTGACCTGATATTATCCTTCTCACATCAAGAATTGACACCATATAATTATTTTTATACTATGAATTATTACTGAAATGAAAAGCTATTGCTAAAATTTCCTATGTGTAAAATGTATATTCATTCCCAGACACTTCTCTTACTTTTCATGAATATTTTCCGATAAAGGGCAAATGTTTTGGTATCGTGAGTGTCCATTAGTGCGAGGTGTGACTGTATACTGGTAGCCTATCCAGCTGAAAAAGACAACTCGCTAGAAAATGGATTCTAATTTTCAACTTGATAATAATCATGTTATCCTTATTTTAAATCACACGAATAATCCAATACACAATTAAATTCTACACGTTCAAACATGTTTCGTAAGACTGATTATTACGTTATTTTATACATAATCTTCTTATTCTTACTCTCAATCACATGAATAATCCATAATTTTGTCATCAAGACACATTGAAATTCTACATGTTCACGCATATTTCAAAAGATTAATTATTACGTTGTTCATGATAAAAATCAGTAATGTACGAAATTTAAAAGAATTTCTATTGTTTATGATGGAATTCTATTGTTTATGATGAAAAAGAAATGGGGAAAATGTAATCAAGAATTTAAGGACATGAAAAGGGTTGCTTAAGGAATTACTGCTTAAGGAAGACGTAAGATAGCGAATAAAAAAGAAATTAAACAAAGCAAGAATGTTACAGACCTTTCAAAGTCTTTCTATTCAGATTGGCTCCATTGTACACTAAGAATCTTGCAATTTCATAATGACCTCTACGACAAGAAATCATGAGGGGTGTGTGTCCGTACTTGTTTGCAATTTCAATATCAGCACCATTTTGTACAAGATATTTTACTATGCTTTCGTGTCCATGATAGCAAGCTGCACGTAAAGGAGTGGAATTAGCTTTCGTGGTGCTATTGAGCGATGCTTTGAATAAATGGAGAGCTCTAACTACATTTAAGTGTCCAGCAGCTGCAGCACACCACATCGGGAAAACACCTTCAAGAGTTTCGTCAGCTATTACCACAGAACCTACCTGTATGAAAAGGATTTAAATATAAAATAGGTGCAATAACGTTGACATAAGTTACATAATATTTTTAACATTTATAGGGTGGATTAAAATTTTTTATATAAAAAATAAACTTCAAATTTACATGAAAAAATTGCATTGAATACGGGATCAGAAAAATTAACGGCTTGACCCGTCTTAGGGAATGTCATAGCTACAGACCAGCGGCAGTCATCCTTTTTATACCTACCGCCCACTTCATAGGCAATAAAATTTTGCTCACCGCCCACCAGTTCCGCAGTAATTTAATTTAGCCGATGTATCACAAACAGAAATTTGTTAAACAATTAAAGCAGCTAGACGTCAATTTCAGCGCACAAGGCATAATAGCCTGAATAATGCTGTCAGTTCTCTTACTACTTAACCAGGCACAAGTCGACTGGACTAATTATCTAAATTCGCCTTCCACGGACCCATCTATAGAGACATCTCCAGGTACAGGAAATGCCGCAATAAAATTTCGCCTCTTCAAAGCCATGCAAGGATCCATTCTGCATGTATTTTTCCTCCTAAAGTTGCGTCGAGTTCAGAATATTATGCCAGGCTTATTCACGCTGGTGCAGATAAGTTCAAATTTTGTTTGTTTATTGTTTATTGTATAACTTGTAAATATATGAATAGAATTCTATTAAATAAACATTTAAAATTCTGGAATGGTGTTTTAAAATTTTAGATGTAGAGTATTCACATTGCTATGTCGGAGCCAGTGGCAGTCAGGTGTAAAGTAAAATTGTTTTTGCTCCACGACATAACAAAATGGCGAGCCAGCCGGGATTGCGATCCTGATTCGAATGTGTTAGGATTATTATATTAATATAGTTGAGAAAGTATTGTGTTTGTTATATTATATTATTGTAGAAGTAAATATTAATTTATGTGTTATTTGGAAACGTAATGCGTTTTATCGTCTGCAATGTTGAATTTCGTATTTGCATTCGAATTAGTTTCAATTTTCAATCGAAATGCTATGCGCTAAATCGTCTGCAGTGTAAGCATAGAAAAGGTTATGCGTTAAATCTTCTGCTGTGATATTCAAAACAATTTTGTTTTGCTGTATTATGAATGTTATGACATATTGTTATTCATTTTTATTATATTGAGTTATATTTTTGGAATTGTTGAGTAAAGACGTTTTTGACGATTTGTCGGATTGAGGATAACATTACAGATTTTGAGTTTTAAGCTGGTCTGCATTTAAAGATAAAAATGGATGTTGATATGTTGAAGAAAAAGCGTGCAACGGCACGCTAGTAAAGTCCTAGTAAAGGCACGCAGTGCTTTTACTAGGACGGCTAAGATTCTAAAAACCGAACTTTGTAAAGATGTTCGAGCGGATAGAGATGTATTGAAAGACAAAATTTTGAAGTTGCAGATGAGAATTGCTGAGTTGAGATCTTGCGATTCAGAAATACTAGATTCAATGATTAAGGGAAAAGCCGCTGAAGATGATCTGGAAACAGAAGTCATAGGCTGCGAAGAATATTTAGATGAGTTTATCACGCTTAATCGTCGGGTGAAAGAGAATATAGATAATGCGGTTGACCGTAGTGTCAATACGAGTTCTAACACGGATAGTAGCTCTAATGAAAAACGGTACAAGTTGCCGAGAATTCAAATTAAAAAATTCGATGGACAATTATTAAGTTACCTTACATTTTGGGGTCAATTTAAAAAGATCCATGAGGATAAGGAGCTTAATGACGTTGACAAATTCCATTATTTAGCTCAATCAATGTTACCCGGAACTCGGGCTAGTGAGTTGATAGATAGTTATCCTTTAACGGCTGAAAATTACCCGAAAGCCATTTCTGCGTTTGAGGAGCGTTTTGGAAACAAGGAAATTTTAACTGAGATATATGTGAGGGAATTGTTAAAATTAATTATCCAAAATGTACGCTCACAAAGGAAGGATCGGTTGCCGCTAGTGTCAATGTTTGACAAAATTGAATCCCATCTCAGATCTCTAGAGTCTTTAGGCTTAGCCCTGGATACTAATGTTTCCTGGTTATATCCCATGGTCAAGTCTTGTTTGTCTGCTGAGATGCTTCGAGTATGGCAGAGAAGCGTTTTGTTCAGTAAAGAAGGATCACGTCTCACAAATCTCCTGGAATTTTTGCGTAAAGAGGTCGAAGGAGAGCAGAGAGTTAAACTAGCCAGGTCTGGATTTGAAATTTCTTCTACTTCGCGCAATGAGCATTCTAAAGATGTAAAAGTTAAGACCAAAAACCAATCGCTAGCGCAGCAAGTCTAGAAGCTGTCAAAGAACAAAAATGTGTTTTTTGCGGAGAATCTCACGAAATCAAAGAATGTTTTACAGCTCGATCGATGAGATTAAAGGAAAGATTAGACAAATTAAGAGAATTAAAATGCTGCCTCTGCTGTGTAAACCAGGGCTTTTTGCGAAGAAGTGTCCACAGTTTATTCAATGCTATTTGTGTAGGCGATCTCACCATATAATTTTATGCCCGGAGGTATCAAAAAACAATGCTGACAATAAGGAAAAACGAAACGAGTCAGTAATGGTACAAAGTACAATGTCCTCTCCCTTATGTATGAATGAAGTCCCTCTTATGACGTTAATGGTTGAAATAGTTGTAGGCACTGTAAAGAAGGTGGTCAGGTGCCTCTTGGATTGTGGATCCCAACGATCTTACGTTTTACAATCCACAGTTAAAGCTTTAGATCTGAAAAGCACTTCCTCTGACACTTTAACTCACGCGTTATTTGGCGGAACAAGGACTGAGTCAAAAATTCACAAGAGATATTCTATAGGTCTAAGCCCGGTTGGGAAAAACCAAGTGTACCAATTTAGTTTTCTGGATCAAAATACCATTTGTGGAGGCATACCACGCATACCTAAAGGACCGTTATTGAAGGAATTAAAAAGACACAGAATTTGGATTTCAGATGTCGGTGAGGGTCACCCGGAAATAGAAATCCTCATAGGAAGTGATATTTATGGGCAAATACTTACTGGTGAAGTAATTCAGCTTGAGGGTGGTTTGACAGCCATAAATACTAAACTGGGATGGACGCTGTAGGGGAATCGAAAGGAACGATTATCCAAAGTTTTGAAGGTACTCCATCTATGTTAGTAACTAATCTTCTTATTCAAGACATGAAACCTTCATTTATGTGGAAGTTAGAAACTATCGGCATTGCAGATGATGCGCAAAGCATTTCCAGGGTCGCAGAAGATCAAGCAGCGAAAAAGCAATTTCTTAGGAGCCTTCGCAGAACCGCAGATGGTAGATATTGCGTGAGTTTACCTTGGGCTCTAAAATTCCCTCCTGATATTCCCTCTAACTGGCATATTGCAGAAAAGAGGCTCTTTGCTACTACGAGAAAATTGAGAAAATTAAATAAATTTGATTAGTACAGTATTTAACGGATGGTTAGCGGAAGATGTCATAGAAATTGTCCCCAAATCAGTAAAGAATGACGGAGGGCATTATTTACCACACCATCCAGTAATAAAATTAGGTAGCCTCACTACCAAGATTAGGCCTGTATTCTATGCGTCGAGCAAAGTCGTTGGTTTGATTTCGCTAAATGATTGCTTGATAAAAGGTCCACACCTTGTAGAAGAAATTTCATCCATTCTAATGCGGTTTAGGGAAAAGGCAATTGGTGTAACATCCGATATTAGGCGGGCCTTTTTACAGATTGAGGTAGAGCGTGAGGATCAAAATTACTTAAAGTTTTTGTGGTGGGTAAATAATAGAATTGAAGTGTTTCGTCACAAGAGGGTTGTTTTGGGGTTAACTAGTAGCCCCTATTTATTGGCAGCTGTGATTTCATTTCATTTGTCCCACGTTTCACCTGAATTCAAAGCTGTTGCGAATAAACTTGCCAAATCATTTTATGTTGACAATTGTGTCACGTCAGTCGATGATAACGAAGAGCTAAAGGTTTTTATGAACCAGTCGATTACTATTATGGCAGAAGCCAAAATGGATCTTCGAATGTGGACTTTTAATCAATATGGTGATCAAGAGCTAGCAGCTGAAGATAGTGATCCAGTCTCCGCAGTTCTAGGCTTGCAGTGGGACCGACGAGATGACAGCCTTACAATATCCGTCCAAAGAGAAATCGTTAAAAGAGACTTATCAAAAAGGAGACTATTGTCTCTAATCCATGCTGGTTTTTGACCCGCTAGGTTTCTTTGTGCCCGTCATATTACCTGCGAAATTAATTCTTCAAGAGGCTTGGGCAACAAAATCGAACTGGGATAAGCCATTACCAGATGAACTTCAAACAAGATTTGAGAGATGGTACGAAAGGTTGCCTAGTCTTTCCCGCCTTAAATTACCTCGTCGCATGGGTCATGGAATTAAGGATTCATGGACTCTACACGTCTTTTGCGATGCCAGTCAAGCCGCTTATGCAACTGTCATTTACTTACGAAGTAAGGAAGAAGACAAAGTTTTCGTGAAATTCGTCATAGCAAAATCACGCGTATCGCCCTTAAAGAAAATAACTATTCCGCGTTTGGAGTTGCTAGCCTGTGTTCTAGGTGCACGCTTGGCAAGGTATACTGTTGAAACCCTGTGCTTAGTCGATGTCCCGATATATTACTGGACAGACGCTACTGTGGCTCTTAGCTGGATACAACGAGAGGAAAACTGGAGAGTATTTGGGAATAATAGAGTAAAGGAGATTCGGAAACTCTCGAAGCAGGAATTTTGGAGACATATCCCTGGGAAATTGAATCCGGCAGATGTGGCATCTCGTGGCTGTACGCCTGAACATTTGCGGCAATGCAATTGGTGGGAGGGCCCCGAATTTCTGAAAAGCTCTCCGGAAGAATGGCCAAACTTTGAATTTACTCCAGATGAAAATTCTGTTACAGCAGAAATCAGATGGGGAGCGATTCTCTATTTGAGTATACAATTAGAAGATTCGGAGTGGTACAAACGTTTTTCGAGTTTTTCTAAAATAGTTCGAGTATTCTGCTGGGTTCT